ACAGGGCAGATCTCCCAGCTCTGGTCACAACCTCTTCTTCCTCCTCCCAAAGACAAAGAGTTGGAGCTCATCAGGAACCGCATTCATAGTCCCATATGTGCAGCCCGTTACTGCACACAGATAGTTGAACCAAAGTCAAGGCTCACACTAGGCATGCTCGAGAGGGAGCTGCTGGGGGAGTAGCAGGAGAGATGTCACACGGTTCCTATAGAAACGCTTCATCTTACAAGATGCGAGCTCAGGACTGAGTTGGGGAAAACATCTGAAACCCATTTGCAGCAGCCGTGCTCACGCAAAACCTGATGTGCAAAAGAGATTTTCAAACCCACCAAACAGAGAGCCCTGTATGGCACGGGGGCAGGGAGAGTCAGAGAATAACAAATAGCAGATGCCTTGCTTAGCTAGGAAAGCAAAAGGGAAGGTTGTAAGAGCTGCCAGTTTTAACTCTCAGCAATCATTCTACAGCACCAAAGAAACAGCAACGGTGTCAGCAACCTGGTAGAGACAGAGAGCTGCAAACCAGGTCACAACACAGCTGGTAACATTTGCACAGTACCCAGCCCTGCTTTAGCTGCCCTGGCAATGAAGTCAGAAGAAGAAAAAAGGCAGAAAACCATCAAACTAGAATTTATTACAAGCCCCAGCAGATTTTCTAAACCATAACTGCATTCATTCCAAAAACAAGCATCAACTATCTGCAGGCAATCTAGGAAAATGGAGAACCTATGGAAAACCTCTTAGAATGGATGGAGACCCCTTCTGCCAGGGACTGGCTGCCAGTTCACAAAGCAATACTGCAAGTACTGGCCAGTGGTATCAGACTGTGCCTTCATATAGCAGAAAATCTGCCCAAGCATTTCTAAGTGGGAGGCATATTTAAAACAAGCATGTTTTTCTGCCTAAGTATTGAAGCACCTGGAGGAAAAAGCAATTGCATAGTTTTACCATTTTACCCTGTCATGTATGAAGATGCAGCTAAAATACAGCAAGTCGAGCAACAGGTAATTTCTCTCTGTAATAAACCCAAGCCATTCACGGAGTCAGCCCCCATGCCTCCTTCACTTGAATTTTAAATTATTTATTAATGCTTGCATTCCCCACTTTTCATTATTCAGTGGGATTCAGGGTTTTTATGTTTTCATTAATTGTAATATCACATGTGTTAACCAAAGCAGTAGGTTCCTGTGAGGCTTCGCATAAAGCCTTGTAATTGGCAGTGCTGGTGGTTAGTAGCTTGGTACAGTTTGCTTTAGAGTATCAAAATGCAATTAAATGACAGCAATAAATATTTACCCCCATTTTTTTGTGATGCAGTGAAGTAGTTTATGCCTTTGCAATTTTGGTAAAATTAACTCCAGATCTACTAAACTAAAATCACTTTGAATGCATGGAGAGGTTGCAGATGGCTGCTAGGTGTTCCCTGGTTTTATAATTGGTTTTATGAATTTGATAGCAGACTAAATGCTTACAATCCATGCAAGATTTAGATATTTACCATTGTCCTTTGAGGAGCAGAGAAGCCAAAGGTAGGTTGTCCCTAGCCACAGACTTTACATTGGAGACATAACCCAAAAGTACAGGGTTAAAAGATAAATAAGAACAAAGAGATAATCTGTTCAAACAGCATAGAAATGCAAAGCACAAACAGGATGTAAATGTAAAATCTACTGTTTAAATCATGACAAGATGATACACTGAGAACACCAGTGCATTTACCACGGTACACCTCAGTGGCAGTTAGTAGGTGTCCTTTTGCATTAATGATAGGCAGCAATGAAGCACTTTAACACTTGTGCTCCACCCTGTAAGGACTACAATGTGTTTGAACAACAGCAGGATATAGAGACACTTCCATTAAGTCAGGGTTTGCAGTGCAACCTGCATTTGTCTATAGAGCTTGTGTGTTAAGTCTTGGTGGGCATCTAGTTTGTCAGGGATGCAGCCTGGCTTTGTTCAGAACTGGGACACAGCTATTTTACCCTCTAAACTCAAACCAATTCCAAGGTACATGCTGTCTATGCACTACCCTCAATTACAGCAACGATATGAGATACATAACACATCCTTCAATCACAGTGCTCCCCATGCCATTGCATGGCAGAACACATTACACAGCATGACGCTGAGGGGGCTGTCAGCCATATGGATTGAGCAGCTGGCTTTGCATATGAACCACACAAAGAGTCCTGGGCTTCCTTTTAGAAATATAGTGCTGGATCTATATAACAGACAAAAATCAAACGTGGTACAGAGGAAGGCATTTTCTCCTAGGCCAACCAAACACAGCAAATGACAAAAAAACTCCCATGCAGTTATTTGTTATTAGTACTGAGAAACATTTTCGGTCACCCCTATTCCCTGTACTCCTATTTTCTGGCACAAATCAGGGGACCTAAAGTCGATGGTGTCACCCATAGTACAGTAGTGCCATCACTAAGAAATACAGAATTACTATCTCAGCTGAACGTATTGGGGGAACTGTGAAGAAGTTGACTTGGATTGGAGAGGCTATTCAAGCCAAAATCCCTATCCTGCATGCCCTTTTGGATCAACCAAGAAAAGCTGTAACTGAAGTCTGAAATTCAGGTGAATACTTTCAGTCCTATATCCCTATTACAGAGCTTCTACATACTAGAACACCAACACAGCAAAAGGCAGAGTTCTTATTATATGTGCCATGCTTAGTACACACTTGCTCACAGTATGTTTTCCACCACAGCTTTTGTCATCAAAGAGTTGCTTCTACATGGGGTTTCTTATCTTTGAAACAGAACTCCCTTGCTTGAACAATATGAATGTCAGAGAATAGAAACAAGGCTATTTCTGATGGTTAGACTGAGAGGCAGAGCATGCTGAGCCATTCTTCTGTTTATTGTGGTAACACAAATGCATCCTGGGTGTATGTGTGTGGTGAAAATGCCTTTTAAAAATTAAACGCTAGCTGTCCCATTTGTGTGCTTCACTCTAACTTTTCAAGCTTCTTGTAGCAGGAATCATCTTTTTCTTTCAGTTTTATATCACCATAACAGATGCCTTTGAACGCTACCTTTGCAAGAAGCAGGCAAGCATGCAGGATGGAGGTTTCACTGGTGTCATTGCCCTCTCCTGGCCAGTTTCAGCATAACCCTTGTACTTGCCCCTGTTTAATTCCAGGCAAGGAGCATTACAAAGCACTGTTGCTGCCCCGTTTCCTGTTGCTGTGATGAGACTGTGGTCGTGTCACAGCAGCATCGCCAGCATGAACTCATAAGCCTTCTTTCAAGACTTTCATCCAAGGATTTTAAGACACTTTATCAACATTATCTGTTTGTTTCTCTTATCAGCCCTTGAGAAAGAAAGATCAATGCCCACAGTTAGCTTTTGAGAATAAAATTTGATCTGGAGAAATAAAAGCAAGATGATTCAGAAGCAAAGGCTGTGAGGCTTGTGGGGCCAGGATTCTAGCAATAGCAAAACGAGCTGCCTAATGCAGCTAATGCCTGTGTGTCACTGAGTGTCCCCTCCCAATGTCTCCATCAAGCATCCAAAATAGAAGTCAAAAAAAGGACTCCTGTAAACTCACAGAGGATGCAGCAGGCTGTGGTGTGTATTGAGGCACCGTGTCCATCAGAGTTCCCAGGCTGGATGCTACAGCTCAGCTCAGTGAAAATGTATCAGCACTCCTTCCCCCTTAAAGCCTGAGGGTGAAACGCAAATGTATTAAATACAAGAATTGCACATACTGACATTTATATTCAGGGATATTCTGGAAATCTGGAGATTTTTTTGCTTAGTCTTCCTTTAGAAGGCCGTAGAGAGGTCTGGTGAAGGGAAAAGTGCAGGAGTTTGGAAGAGTTAACAGAATAGCCTAAGGATTCCTTGAGAAAGACTGAATAACAGTAGGAAAAGCTTTTTTATAATAATTAAAAGGTGGGCAGGAGTATAACCCATAGGCAGATGATCACTTTCATCTTGATTGTGTCATCCTGATACATCTCTAGGAACCAAAGGTCAGGGTTTGGAGAGGATGGGTAACACAGGTGGGGGTGCTGAATCTGTTCAGGGTGGAGGTATTCCGGGGCCCATTCTGCAAAGTGGGGCTCATAGTGAGTGAGCAGGGTGGCCACAGAACCAGAATCATAGCATCAGCTAGGTTGGAAAAGACCTTTAAGGTCACCAATTCCTAGCTTTACCCCAGGACTGTCAAGCCCTCACTAAACCATGTCACTAAGGGCCCTTGTCTACATAGTTTTTGAACATTTCCAGGTGCAGTGACTCCACCATTTCCCTGGAATGCCTGCTCCAAGAAGAAGCTTTTCCTAATATCCAATGTAAACCTCCCCTGGTACAGCTTGAGGCTGTTACCTCTTGTCCTATCATTTACTTGGGAAAAGAGACCAACCCCCACCTCCTTTCATGAGGTTTGGGGCAAGGATCTGAGGCCTCAGAGGGGCTGTGTGGCTGCCAGTGTCTCTGGAAACAGAGTCGACCCAGAGGGACTGGAGCATAGGGGCTCCCAGGAGCAGGGCTTGCTGGCGGAAACCAGGGTATGGGGAGTGGTAGGACCAGGATGGGGGCCTGAGGTCCCGGGCGGTGGGGAGCCCCCGGGGAGGGGGTGGCACAGGGAAAACCAGGGTCCCCTTGATGTGTGGTGGGGGTGCTGGGAGATGCTGAACCCGCCCCACCAGAGCCCCGCGTCCTGCCCCCTTACCTTCACCAGGGCCGGCCGCGGCGCGTCGCCGCTTGCCATGGGAACGGAGGCGGGACGGGGCGGACCCACGCAGAACACGCCCGGCCGGGGTGGGACGGGACGGGGCGGGACGGAATGGGGCCCTTCTGCTCCATAGCGCTCGTCGGCAGCAGCGGCGAGTTCCCTTGCATCGGGCGGGTAAGAGTCAGGAAGCCTCCGGCTGGGGGGGGGTTCCAGGCACTCTGCAGGCGCTCACCCGCACCCGCTCCCAGGGTCCCAGTGCATCAAGTGGGCAACAGCCTCCCCCCAAAGTGCACATTTATTAGTTAAAACTAAAAATTACATCTTTAATGTTCAAGGAACATTTGATACATTAACACTCATTTAACACCTAAACATAACAACCTCGGGAAACACAGGAGATACGCTGTTGGAAGCTTTTAATATTCAGTGCAAAACCAAGTCCTTTAGAAAAAAATCCTTACTGCAGAACATGTGACTTTCACATTTTATCTATTCAAGGCCTGGTAAACAGGCAAAATTAGTGCTCTTGTTCCCGTGTAGAGCATCTGATTACCTCTAAGGTATGCTGTACTTCCAGAAACAACAAGCTACATGTGGAAGCTGGAGCTCCTTAAAGAACAGATGAACTACCATTCCAGGCTCTGAGGCATTCATTAAAAGATACTACTGTAGCTCCCAGTTAATTCAGAATACAAAAGGGCTGATCGAGATCAACAGAACTAAGTGACATGACTAAGTAAAAGCAAGTTCCTCTGAGCCAAACCCAGTCCTTAGGTCTAGTGCAAAACTGGTTTAACCTGATGGATGTGCAAATTTGCATCACTCTGGGCTCAGGAGCTTGACCTCAGTGTCTGTGCAGCTTGCTGTCCCCGGCCCCAGCTCTTCTGCTGGGTGAGGAAAAACTTCAGTACCACATGCTGTGCGTGCCACTGCAATAGCAGGCGGTTTCACTTAAACTGTGTTTAAAAATAACCCGTTGGAGTCTGTACCTTCTAGAAAACCTCCCATCTCCTGAAAACTACAGTCCATACTTAAAAATGTGTCTAAAAAAATCCAATTTCTTCCTATGACGGGAGGGCTTGAAAGGAATTGAAGCCAGTGTCCCTTTCTAGTTCTTGTACCAGCGATTCAGGGCAAGGAGGTATACAACTGGTGCCCAGCATGAACCAGAGCTAGCAGCACTGAGTGCTAAAGTGTCTCATGACTCCCTGACATACTCTTGTAAGTAAATCCTGTGCCCATTCAATCCTCCTCAGTCCAAAGGCCAAGTTTTCATGATGGGCATGGAGTACAGAAAGGAACATGGAGGAGAAGAAAGAAGAATCCTTGGCACTCAAAAGAACCAGCCCTTAAAAGAATATAATCCTGTACCTATTGTAAATGAAGGGCTTTCTACTGCAGACTTTACAGTAGCCCCCCTGAGGTCAGCTGGATAGTATGGGCAAAATAACCCTTTTCAGGTAGAAAAATATACTGTATCCGTTATAAAAAAAAGGGGCCTTCTTCAAATGTTCCTCTGGCCTTACAATGGCCCTGCTGAGATGGGTGAAAAGGTAGAAAAGATTGGTCCTCTAAACACTTCCATCTTAGCAAACACTGCCCTTACCAGCTTTATTTTTGTAATGGGTAGGAATTCCTTCATGCCTTTTGCATTTAACTGAGCCATAATATGCAAAATTATGTATGTTTAGACATTGTACCAGGGTGTCCATTTTTAAACACTGGCAACAAACAGGTTGTCCCACGATCTGCATTTAGCTATGTAAACCATTATTTAGGAACAGAATGCGGCAAGCACTGATTGATTTAGTGCCTGAAGATACCGCTTGGGAGGCCTGATCAACTGACAGTGCTGCAACTGCCAAATGCAGTCCAGTGGCAGAAGCCTTTCTGATGGTTGCTATACTGGATTACTAACACTATTTTAAATCCATAAACAACTTCTCAAAGGCGTATCTGGGAGGGTCAGCGGAAAACACCACATGGTGTGTGCTCTGTGTTACTGGGGTTACCTAAGGTAGACAGTACAAAATAAGGAGGAAATGTGCAAAGCTCTCTTTAAAGTTGACCATGATCCGTCCCCAATATCTCAGGTATCCAGACAGCCGCTGTTCTCTAAGGACTGCATAACTGCCCTAAATATAGGTGGTGGTTTTTAAATGCCCGCCTTCCAGTTGAATTGTGAATTTTCCTTGTTTCATTTCCAGTCAGAGCCAAGAGCTCACTGCTCACTTCTGGGCATGTTGGGATAAGAATGTGTATCTGTACATCCCTTCAGTGAAAGAAATTGTTCTGTACCCCTCAGTTAATTCTGCATTTCTGGCCTTGGTTTTAGCGTGCTCTGCATGGTTATAGAACACTGATCTTTCTTTGAGAAAAGATGGATTTACACAGGACATGACTTCAGTTACAGTAGCAGGTGTTGGGAGAAGACATCGCAGCAGATACTGTTAGAAATTTCATGCCATTTCTTCACAGTATCATCCACATGTCACTCTGCACACTGCAGAATTTTCTTAATGTTGACATAAAATCCTATGACATCTCCCTTGACCCAGTATTGAATCCTGTACGCCATGTTCCCAAATCCATCTGTAGAGCAGCACTCAGCTCGTCCTGTGCCACAGCAGGAACTTTATCACTGCAGCTCTGAGCTGTGAGTTTTAGCCTTCATCAGCCAAGAACAGCTCTGTCTTCTCACAGTGCTGGGAGGAGATGGGTTGCCAGTTTCAGAGGCAACTCTTCCAAGGAGAAGAGGTGATTTTTGCCAGCAGAATCAGATAGGAAGCTACTCATCATATGAGAATAAATATGTCTGTATCCTCCAAAGAGAAATGCAGGTGGAAGACACAGCCTCTCCACACTTTCTCAAGGAGAGCTGACAGGTCTGTGAGGTTAGCTTGTGTCTACAAAATCCTTAAGTCTGTGAAATCCTTTTGCTGCTGAAGAAGAAGAGGACCATCAAGCCATTATACCAGGGTCCCATTCTTACTATCGTATTTCAGCCTGGGCCGGGGAAAGTTCAGGGTGGCATACTCTGTGGCATTCTGCATTTGTAAGTTCTTCACCTCTGCTGCAGAGCGCTCCCGGACCTTGGTGAACACTTGGATGTCTGCATAATGAATGCTGTCATCCTGCTTCGTGCTCCTGGGTTTACTCACAGTGGCGTAGACAGGAAACTCAATGACATCTTCATACGTTGGAGCCTTTGAGGAGAAAGAGCTCTGGAAGGTCAGCTCCCTGGGCTACTGCTCCACACACCATCCCCAGACCAAGCAAAGACACCCTTCACACCTTCCCCAGCATCATCCAGGCCTTTGACACCTCAGGAGCAGAAAGAGATTTCATCTTACTGCTTCCACTGCACTTCAGGGGGAAAAAATGGGCCCTCATCACTGTGCAGCAATTCACACTGCTCCCACAGACATTAAAGCCTATACAGAATGAGACAGTTCATGGCTCTGAATAAGCTCCCCCATGTCTTCCCAACCCATGTTGCCTAGGAAGTGGTGGTCAGCTCTGTCTCTTCTCAATATAGTTAGGAAAACAACTCTGGGAAGCTGTTTACCTTCCTGTCAGGCTGATGCTGTTGGCTCTCCTGTCTCACATTAGTTCCTGAAAAAAGAATACCAGAGGTTCAGATTAACAAAACCATTGCTCCATCTTTGAATGCAGAAATGCAGTGTCTGTCCCATGGACTCTCCTCACTGGACAAAACTCAAATTTCCATCTCATCTGACACCCTCCTAATGCTGTTTCTGGGACCCGCCTCCAAGAAGAAAGCCTGGGCTTATTTCTTTGGAAAAAAATAAGGTTTCCTGGGATGACAACATGCTGTGGACCGCAGTGTTCTTGGCAGAACCTAGGAGGACAGACACAGCACAGAGAGCTTCCTTGTTAGACCCTTGGAGACGACAGATCCAGTTTTAACTTTATTTCCTTTGCTGCCTGGCAAACATATTTTGCCCAGCATGGTCCAAAGGCCACTGAATACAACTGGGATATTAAGGGAATGCACTTTATTCTGGAGGACTGATGTCAGAAGGATGTTTACAGCCCTTACAGTACGGGAAGGGACCTCAGCCTCACAGATCCAATTCATGGCACTGAGTAATGTGTCTCAGTGACTACGCCCTTTCTTGACCTCTAAAGCATTTCCACAAATCCTTACCTTGCTTTTCTTTCTTTCTTTTAAAAGGCGAAGGACAATTCCTGAAAGCAGAGAAAGATGTCAGCACTGAGAACGCCCAGCCTCTGCTGTCCTAACATGCAAACCCAAATTGCCAACCCCAGGGTACCATATCTGTGGGTAATGAGAAAGGGCCAGTGTCTCACAGAAGAACTACTGACCCAAACCAGAATATGAGTGACTCTTGCAAGGAAAAGATCCAAAGGGGAGATGGGGGAATGTGTTTCCTTCTCCTTTAACACAGCTACCATGCCCCACAGACACCCCCAAACCTCCTTGCCTTTCAGCCCTGCCTGGCTGTCTGATGACAAACAGATGATGATGACAACAGAGTTCGCTGTGGGTTTGCAACTACATTTCCACAGCTGTATGATCAAAGATGCAGTATATATGCATGGATATAAAGCATGCTCTCAGTTGGAACAAAACCCTTAGGGCTGAATGCTCTGATAGCCCCACACACTCCACTTTGCCCCCCTTGCCCAAGGAGCAGCTATGTGCAGACCTTGTGCTAATTCAGTGTTTCAGACAGTTTTCCTGTTGTCAGTTTTCCACTTAAAACACAACCAAACCAACCAAGCACTTAGTACAGTCCAAGCCAAACCCTAATCTTGGCTGTACCTGTGTGATCAGAAAGAGACTAGCCAAATGACAGCTACGTTCCAGCCACAGAATGAACAGGAGGTGAATTCATTTCAGCTGTAACAACAGACCCAGGAGCTGAGCCCACTGGTGCTGGCAGGAGCACAGGCTGCCTGGCAGAGCGGAGACATGTTCCATTCTGGGTCAGATGCATGAAGGCAATGTTATCGTTGTATTGCACTCAGAGGGATGGCTGGAGAAGAGCAGGAGCCAGCCCTTGTGTGCCTCCCCGTGCGTATGCATATCCATCTGGTGCTGGCCCCCGACCAACACAGCATGCAGCCGAGGGTCTCACACAGGTCTGTGTCTGCTGCAGCACTTATAATGGGGCTACAGAGCTACCAGATGGTTCCCAAGAAACACTTTATGTCCCACATTGTGTGCGTTTGCCAGACAGTCCTGTCACCGGCAGGAACAATGCCATGCCTGAGGCAGAGCTCTGCCTTTCCCAGCTTCTAGAGGCAGTTCCTGTGGGCGGGCAAGCAGGACAGCGTGTGCTGTAATGTCTTCGGCACTGATGGCAAAACAAAACTAACCGTGAATGCAGGCAAAGCACTTGGAGACCTTCAAAATGGTCACTAATGATTAACCAGGCTTGCTAGATTAGGGAAGTCAAAGGCAGCTTTGGGGAAAGCAGGCTGCCATGTGCTGATGCAAAAGGATCCAATGCTGCTTCTCATGCCTTACCTGTGTGCAGCCCCACAGAGGCACCAATGGCCCTCCAGTCCTCTACAGGCACAATCTGGGGGCTGTCCCCACGAGCCAGGGCCCCAGCTCAAGGCAGCATTGCTTTTACTTGTGGTATTTCTCACTTGGCTCTTGCAGCTTCCTTCTCCACTGTCTCTGTGAGCTTGCAGAGACTCCAGGGCCCTCCTTTGCCAAGGCTTCTGTGCTAAAGCACTTTGCTTCTCTACAACATTCAGCCACTCGGTATTCAAGCTGCTTTTGCTTGTTTTGGTTGCTTTCCTTTGTGGAGAGCACATTAGCAGCCAGTGTGTAGGCTGGAACTATTCTGAGGCTGTCTGCAGGCTAATCACAGCCAGGCAGGAGACAGCATCTCCCAGCCTTAGATCTGTGGTATTTAGATCGGATACTGCAAGGGAAACTAGAGCAGGGCAAACCTCTCACCTCTTCTCGAAACCAGGCCAAACATGTTGTAACTAACAGCCAGCTAAAAGCACATTGTACATTCTACATGACAACACGTATGTCCCTGCTCCTGTATTACTTCTCCCCCTTTCCCCATGTCAGTGACTGCCTGATTTCTGTCCTACACAAGCCTGCTTTGCAGTTGGTCCTGAATTTTGGCATCTTTTACTCTCCATGCACACCAGAGGCCCTGAGTACTAAACAAAATGGTGAGAATACCCGGGGCCTGCCCTCCACAGGGCCATACCTGTGGAGGTACTCAGACCTGAGGGCACACTTTCCTTCACTGCTATCTTTCTTGTGTGAATAAATTTGCTGTAATGACTTTTCTTTAAAGGCAACTCAGTCTGTCCTCCTTGCTCTGTCTCCCTTAGGGCCTGTGCTTTGGTAGTAATCAAGACAAGGATTTCCATACAAAAGAAGGTGATTACCTATCTCCCCTTAGCCCTTTTTTAAGTCTCACCTTCATTTAGAAAGCTCATCTCTTTGCTGACACAGCTGTGGTGCTGAGAAAATACACAGAAATAAAAGTACAGGAATCTCGAGACACCTGAACTAAAATTAAGTACCATTTTTTCCCTCTGTCACCAAGGTAAAGCTATGAATCATGCAGACTTCTGCAGAGGGGCTTCAAAGCACCAGTCTTCTCTTAATTGTGGTCCTCTGTAGGTGTCTTCCAAGCCCATGCTATCAACAGCACATTCCTATTTACCTTGGAAGGACCTCGGTGCCCTGATCCTCCTCCTTTGCTTCAGCCACTAGGTGATGCTCTGCCTCTTGTCATTATTAAAAAGACCTGATGAATTTCTAATACTTTTAACAGATGCAGTGTTGGAGAGAATGCCCTCGGAGCTTCATCTGATATTCATGGCTCTGCCGTTGTACCATGCTCAGAGCTGAAAATATTTCCACTTGGCACCGAATGATGCTCCACTGTGCCCTTTTTCTGTAAGCAGGAGGTCCAGGGCACAACATGAGCCAGGAGGGATTAAACTGTCATCCTGCTCCCAGGGAGAAAGAGCAACATCATCTGAAAAACGTGGCCAGGATTTCCTAAGTGCAAATAAAGCCCAGACAGAGTCAGGCAGGGAGAAGGGCTGGAGGAGCTGAGAGCAGGATGGCGTAGCTGACCCTATGAGCCTTTAATGCCAGCACTGCCCCAAGGGCCCTTCCCTGCACTATGCTAAAGGGACACGTATGATGTCTACCTGCCCGGAGAGCAGTGGGGCAAGGAGAGGGATTTTAACCAGATCCTTCTTAGAACTGAGCTGTTCTCAGCTGCTGGCATGACTGTGGGAACCCAAGCTACCAGTCCCATGAGGGTCGAGGGATGTGAGCAACAAAGCCCCTTCTCCTTTCCCTTCGGCAGCAGGGGCTGCCCCAGCCTGCCGTCCCCGCCCCGGCACCAGCAGTGACCCAGAGTCCGTGCTGAGCTGCTCTCGGTTTCGGTGTGAGCTGGCACGGTACAGTGACGAGGGCCGGGCAGGAACCTTGTCAAGCCCAGCACCAAGAAGCAAAGCTTGCAAAGTCCACCCAAACTTCAGATTAGGCTGCCCAGAGCTTGCGCTGCCATCCCCGTATCTGGCGGATGCCGGACTCACCATGGTCGCCCGCAGCTGCAGCGATTGCCCATGTCGCTCCCTCCTCCATGAAACACAAGTGTTTTCTGGACAGGGAGAGCTTGTATTTCCTGGTTCCTGCTCAGCCCCTGGCTATTCCAAGGGAGTGTCTGGCAGTGTCGGATTTCTCTCCGTGCTGTACTGACGCTTTGCTATAGGCCCGTGCGTGCCATCTACCGGAGCACTTGCCCTGGGCTCTCCGTGCCCCAGGGACAGCGCTCACCTCTCGCTACCCAGGTAAGAAGGGGCAAGGTAGCAGCATCCCTCTGCCCTGGGGCTAAAATGCTGCTTTGTGGTTTGTGCAGTGGGTGTCCCTCCGCTCTCCCGCTCTCCCACCAGCGCAACCCGCTGATACCAGCAGTGATGCAAAAGAGAATGAAGGAGGGACTTCAGATGTTCCTGATCGAAAGGACAAACACCAGGGTGGGAGCTCTCAGTGTGTTCCTGCTGTTCATCATTGCAACTCCAGCAGGATGTCAGAAAAATGTGTAGCACAGCCTGGCATCATTTGGGAAAGAAAGTGTATTTTCTCGGGAGGGAAGGTGGTGAGAGCAGGCTTGCAGGTCTACTCTCAGCTGAACTGCAGTGCTGCTGCTTCTGCCACTGACAGAAAGGCATATGCAGACTCGGGAACATTATTGGGAATCTTTTTGCTTACCTACCTAGATGTAGGTGTATCAATTTTTGCTTTTAAGAATGACAGAATCCCATGAGGCACCTCACATCATTAAGAACCTGCAATACAGCTGTTAGGGTTACCCCTTAGCATCTTAAACAGGAGCATTAATGTGTATTTTACCTTTTTACCCTGTTGAAAGCCCTTCAGACTGTGGTGGGTCATTCCTGGACTGAATGACGGGTAGCTGATCTCTGGCATCTCTAAGACAGCTGATGCTCAATACTGAAAAATACCTTGTCAATGTAGTCCTTGAGCAGAAACTGTGCTCCACAGCTTTGATTTGGCAGATAACACCAGTTCTGTGCAGGTCTGAATGCCTCATGGGATGTGCTGACAAGTGGGTAAGTTTTAATTCATGCTTCTGGCAGGCTATCTCAGGAACCAGTGCTAGTCCCCTATTCCAGCTGTACCCATGTTCTCAGCCAGGCTCACAAGCATCATTTATCATCTGCCCAAGTGCAGAGCAGAGCCTTTGTCTGTCCAGAAGTGGCAGGAGATGAGTTCTGAACCGCAGGGCACAGCTGCTCTCTTAGCTGAACCCTGGATGAGCTGCACTGTGACCTTCAGAGCATGAGTCTTGCTCAGAAACTGCTCGTCAGCATGTGGCTGGAGAAACTGTTTGGTTCAGTCTGCACCACAGCAGCCCAGGGAGAATTTAGGATCAGATTTATGTGGGTAAATGGGATGCAGTCCTGGTCCCAACAGGACCATGTTCTCAGGGTTCTGCAAAGATCTGGTTATCTCAGGAGTCTGTCCCTGCTTGGGAAGTTGCAGACTGTCTCTGGGTTTGCTACAGACACTGTTGATTTAGAGAGCCAGTACCTGTTTTGATTTCTGGGATAACTTAGGCTTTGTTGCTCTGTGGACAAGAAAGAAGAAAAGGCTGGGAGACTGTTCCCATCAGCCCCTTTCACAAATATTGGAGCTGCTGGTTTAAGCTCCACCAGAGAAACAGAAAGGCATCAAAAACATTGGCAGAGTTGGATATCACTTGGCTGCCACTCTGCATTCCCTCCTCAGTCTGTGTCTGCAGGGATGAAAGAGAGCATGGCTTCCAGCACTCCTGCTCAACAAACCGATCAGGATATTTTGTGCAAAGCCTTGCAGGGTGCAGAGGAACAGCCCAGTGGCTGACACCAGGCAGTGCCAGCCCCTCTCACTGCATCACTGCTGGGGCATCTGTCTTCATGCTCTCAGGGACATCGTGTGGGTAACAAGCTGTGCAACTGGCACAGCACGAGCCTGCAAGTGCCCAGCAATAGAGAATGAACTCATTGGAGAGCAAAGGGACAGGTAATAAAAGTCAGAGGGGAAACAGAACTGTGTAATGACTACTAATGCTTTGCATTTGTATTGCCATAACGTCAAGGTACCTCAGCCATGGAGGAACTGGAGCCACACTGTGACAGGTGTGATTCAAGCACAGAACAAGCTGACATTGCCTATAAAAAAACGAAGGGCATCCCTCAGCAGTACAGAATGTGAGTGTGGGGTACCTGATCTGCACTGCGGGGACAGAGTCTTAGCGATCTTCCTGCTTTCTCTCATAAAGCATGCAGGCAGGGCTGCACTTAAGTTGGCTCTGATCCTCACTAATGGTAGGGGCCCTGAGAAGTTGAAAATAGCTGCACAGTGGTTTGCTCTGGTCTGGATCTCACTTTGCCTGGCAAGTGTGAAAGAGCAGCCTTGTATCACTGTTTCAGCAACAGAGGAGGTATGCTGCATGGGTCAGACTCCTGAGCAGAGCAATTCTGGCCCAATTTATTCATGGAGTAAGAGTGCAGAAGTCTACAAGCCACATCCCAGCAGGGAGAGGAAGAAGTTCTATCCACAGGGACCTTGGTACCTCCTCTCTCTGTGAGAGAGCTGCACTGAGGCATGCCAGGGACCCCCATATTTGGCCAGTGACACAGCATTTTGGCTGCTTTAATTGGCTCTGACAAAACAAGGATCGCAACTGGCACCTGCTGAGCATTTGGGGCCATCCCAAGGCAGCAGCTGCCACTGACAGCAGCACACGCGATCCCTGGCCCAAAATCACAAGACTACTGAGACATTCTCATGTAGCGGGTAGCATCGCACTGTCTGCAAAAGGGACCAAATTCATCCCCCCTGTGACTCTATGGAGAGTGCTGGGATGCAAGCAAGGCACTTGGGATCTGAGCAGAGCCTTTCCTTTCAGCAGTTTGAGGTTCATTTCCCTCATAAGGGCTGAAATGGTACATGTGTGAACAAGCATTATGTCCCATAAACTAGAAGGCTGAAGCAAGCAGAGGCCATGGGTTGGCATTTGTTTAATTGGACTAACTTCAGCTGCAGGTCTGGAAATGCACAGTGAGCCTCCAAGAGCTCATAACTCTACATCTTTTCTCCTTGAGGATGTTGCCTACTGTGGGTTCCCTGCAACAGCAAGCAGCTCTAGCTGCACCTGAGCCAGGAGAGTCAATCACAGAGGTTCCTCTGGTGCCCCACAGCCAGAGGTCCTCCAGGTCCCCACTGATGTCATTTCCACAGATGAACTCAGTGTGAATAATTTACTGCTCTGCTCCCGACATCTGGAGCAGCTAAGGCTCTGTCCATCCTTCCTGCTGCAGAGTACCTTAGCCAGAAGGAACATGAATCCAATGGAAACAAGCAAAGATCAGAGGCAGATTTATTCCCCTTTCCTCCTGAGAGCTGCAGGCACTTTTACAGACCAACAAGCACCTTCCATCTCCATAAAGGTCAGAAGCAAGACATTGGGATCACCTCTTCCCTCTTTCCGGTACCCTTCTGGGCTAGAGCAAAGCAGCTGTTTAACAGTCCACTGTGACACAGCCTCACAGTTTAGGGCAAGAATGACCCTTGCCATGTGGGATGAGAGGAGAGCACCCTGCATGGTGCTCAATGAGCACTTGACCTAGGAGAAAACTTGCAATACAGTCCCTCACACCAACACTTTAGTCCCCCTCTTTTTTTGGTTCCAAGCCCCTTTTTCCAACCATCAGCCTTAAGAAGCTGATGAGCATATATATGGCTGCTCACAGCCCTGCTAAACACTGATGATGGGAAACAGGGGTCTGGCACCATGGACTTCCCATCCCTGTCCCGCCCACCTTCCCTATAAAAGCCCAGATTAGGGACCTTTAGGACTCTTTCTTCTCTTTTCCTTCCCCAGACTGTTCTTTCCCCACTGGCTGCTCCTGTTGAGTTATCTTCACCTCATTGACTCTGGCCTTTATCTCCTTCCCTGTCCGGGGAGCCACAATACTTAAAATGCCATCATGGGACAACGTGGCTCTCACCAGCAAGGGGTCAACATCCAGAGGAAGGATATAGGTCCTGGTGAACTCTCGAGAAATGAAGCCGTGGCGATCAGCCTTCTGTGGGTGCTGCCCCACCACCTCCAGCAGGTTGTCCACAGTGCGGACAGTGAGCTCGTCCGGCAGGAAGTGACAGACATCCAGGAATACTTCGAATTTGTGCTCATTGAGGCTGATCTCGGAGGTGCCTCGATCCAGCTGCTTATTGATCCGAGGCCTGATGTAGTAGCCATGGTACAGAGCAGGTGCTAAGATCTCACATGGGGACACACCTGAAAATGAGATGCAGTGAGGAGTGTGGGGTTTCCAGTGGAAGGAGTTGCTGAAGGATGGTTGGCAGCAGATAGGGGAGGCTGACAGGAGGAAGATAGGGCCTGGCAAACACCTTGGTTTTGACACCACATCAGCACAACATGGATGAAGTCTCTTTCAGTTCCTACCTTTGTGTCCCTAAAACACATACACAGCCAGATGCCTGCCAGACACGGCCTCCCACCACAAAGCCAGCAGCTTCCAGCAAGACAAGGGCTGGTTCCAGCTTTTACATGCCTGCTGGATGAACAGAGAGGGATTGGTAGGTGCACTGGTGCCCTGCAGTGCAAAGCACACAGCCAGGGATGGGCATGGAAAATGCTGATGGTGAAGAAACTGCCCTGAAGAACTAAAGGCCTTTTGTGTACCATTGTCCAGGAGGCTTTCCTTGGAGCTTTTTGCATTTTCACGCTGTTGTGCTGGTGCTGAATGGTTCTGCTGCTGCCCACATTCCTTCCCCTCTGCCAGCCACTGCCCAGCTTTGTGCTGAACACCACAGCTCAGCTTTTCTCGCCAGCCCCCGGCTGCAAAAACTACCCCCCCCTCCGCCCCCAGAGCATTTTGCTCCATGTTTGCACAGCATATGCATGAATGCCAAACCGCTGGGGGCATGAGAGTGGACAGGAGAGACAGCAGTAAGCATGGATGGAGGAAGTGGACCTGAAGAGAGAGACCCTGGCCATTCCCTGGATATCCCCCACCTCCATTCGGGTTCTTGCACTTAAAATTCCTTGGCTCCACCTTACCTAGCCTGCTCTGGAGTTCAGTATCCCCAGGGAGACTCCACCAGCCCTCCTGCACCAGAGGAGAGAAAGGTGCTTACCTTCTCCAAAGTTCTGGTCATAGATCTTGCTAGGGTTGGCAAACTCATACTCCGAACTCATGGGGTAGGCATGGGGGACAGTCCTTGCAGCCATGGTGTGTCTTTCCAAGCACTCACTGCCTCTGAGAGTGAAGGCTGCAGACTGCAAGGTTTTAATTGGGTGAATTCCACAGGGAGGAGTGTGTGATAAAAAGATGGACCAAAATAGCCACAAGCACAGGCCCCGGGATGCCTTGCCAGGGTGACGACGGAAGCTTCTCACTGCATTCCAGCAGAGAGTGCAGGCACTGTCTGCAGTCAGGGACCTCTCGGGAAAATGCCGTACCTCCTCCCACCCTGTGAGATCCCCTCCTCAAGCAAGAGGTGCAGGAGGCAAGTGGGCAGCCAAGTACAGCAGGGAGGCACAGAGGTGAGCTAAGGGAGGCTAAAGCAGAAGAGACCCCCGGCTCTGCTGCCTGTGGTGCTCCCAAAGGCAAGGCAAGCAGGAAAGTTCATTGTAAGCAACCTCAAGTAGTCCCTAACACTGGTCCTGCTGGCCCTGCAGCACCCCATGGGGATAGGGCAGTAGCTACTGATGGCTGGTGCCTGATCAGGTCATGCACAATCACATGAGGTCAGTATCACACCCGTTTCCTCACTGTGAGCTTAGGACCCAAATCAGCCCTTCCCGTGCCCTACACAAGGGAGGTTCATTTTCCCAGCAGCAGAGCATATGGCTAAAGCCTTTTGTTCCTATGAGTGGTGAAGTGGTGCAGGTAGTTAACAGGATTCAGATACTGACGCCTCTGCATCCTGAATGGTGCTGTTGCAAGCTGCCTGTCCAGACTGTTCCCTGTCCAGAGCTTTGGCACAATGTAATGAGACCCAGAGAAATGCTTGTGCCAGAGATCACGAGTTAACAGGGATCTGAAGCTGGCATAGATCCAGTTTTATTGAACTGGGGGTGGTCAGGGAAAGGGAGGAATGGGATATGGATGGGGGGAAGTAGTGTACCCTGAAACCAGAGATTTCCCTGAGTCCACGTCCCTGCAGTTTGAGAGCAGGTGCACTACTGCTGATGTAATGGGGAATTGGAGAAGGTATTTATGGCCTGAGCTGTTGCACAGAGCAAACCCTGCTCCCTGTTCTTGCAGCCACACTGAGATGAAGGGGGTCAGAACCTTTTGCAAAAGACTGGTGGTACTAGCAGTAAGAATGATGTGCCTCTGGGCCAGTAATTGTGTTTAAGTTGCAAGCAAACACAGGCAGAGACTAACTCTTGCCCTTTAAGGACAGTTGCTGGGCTGATGCTATTGCCATGATTTAGGTTTACAGATGAGGCGGGAATTAAAATGAATGTGTGAATGAAGACATAGTAGAAGTATAATTATTGGAAATCACTTACTGCGAGGGCACAGGCAGATAGAGGTAGCTTGCATCCCCGAGAAGGCATGTCGCAGTGTAGCATCATGGAGGTCGTTGGCATAGAATCAGAGTGGTTTGGTTTGGAAGTGACCTTAAAACTCACCCAGTTCTAACCCCCTCCTGCCAAGCACAGGGACAACTTCCACTAGACTGAATTGCTCCAAGCCCCATCCAACCTGGCCTTGAACACTGCCAGGGATGGGGCATGAGATGGACTAAAAACTACGCTAGTCAATGAAGACATGCCCTGGGAAACTCCCCATCATGCCTGGTTTATCTCTGCTGACAGCCCTCTGGAGTGCTCTGAGGTCACAGTGTTGGGCTTTTCTGCTCACTTCAGCCAAGTGGTTTCTGTAGTGGGCAAAAGATGAGAGGTGTTGGGCTGAAGCACTGTGGGGAAAGCCATCTTTCATTCACACTCACCAATGGGTATCCACTAAGGCTCACTGGGCTGCAGAGAGCTGCATTGCCAAGGGTATCTCAGCAAAGACCTCCTGGGGTCTTTCCTGCCCTCCAACTACAGCAGGCCTGTGCCTTCCTTGGCCTTAAGGAAGGGCAGAGCTATCCCTAGGCTGGTGGGTGATGTATGACTGAAGTCTCAGTGCTGGCAGTGGGAACAATGGTCCCTTGTCATTTTCCCTGTAAGCCAAAGATAGGAGTTGCATTGATCCTGCTGGCATCCAAAGCAGCTGGGAACATCCGCCAAGCCTGCCTGGGTCTCTGCAGATAAACAGCACGTGGGGAGTGGGGCGGGTGGCTGGGCAGTTTGGCTTCTTGCTGCCCCATTAGGCTCCTTTTCTTCTTCTCCCCTTCCCCCTCCTCCTCAGCAATGTGTTCAAATCCCTCAGACAGCTACTGGGCACCACTGAAGGGACCAGCCCAGGAGTGGGACAATAAAATCCCTGACACCACTGTTCAAGAGGCCTGAGGGGGGGGAAGATCAGGCCAGCTGCACGGGTATAAAGCTGTCCTGCGCTCCCAGCACAGCACTGCAGCACAGTTGTTTGCCAGCCACCTCCAGCGCACTCCAATGGATATCACCATTCATAACCCCCTGATCCGCAGACCCTTCTTGTCTTGGTTGGCGCCGAGTCGTATCTTTGACCAGATATTCGGAGAGCACCTGCAGGAATCAGAGCTACTCCCTGCTTCCCCCAGCCTCAGTCCCTTCTTGATGAGATCCCCCATTCTTCGGATGCCCAGTTGGCTAGAAGCAGGACTCTCTGAGGTAATCTTCCCTTCTTAATGCTCTTTGTTACTGCTGTGTGCACACCCTGATGGGCCTGGAGCTGGAGACCCATGAGAGCTGAGATCTTGGAAGCTTCTTATAGGTGGTTATTAGGAAAAGGCTGAGGAAAAGGGTGCTGTGTTTGTGTCTCTGCTCTTCTGCATTAAGCAAGAACCTCTGCATGCTTGTCTAATCATTTGTAACTGAGTGCAAGTATTGCCATATTGTTTGGAATAGAAGCAAACTGTGGCAAACAAGAGCCGACAGAATAAAGGAGGAACCCTTATCTCCCTGTCTGCTGTGCAAAACTTTCAATCCCACTCCTCCTGAGGAGCAAAGAGCACAGGGGCGGTTGGCAGGGGTAATCAGAAACTGATGTCAGGCAGTGTGGGAGCTCATGCTGAGGAAAAAGGGGCCTATTTTAGAGAATCACTGCTGAGAAGAGAAGCATTTTAAGATACAGGACCAAAAGGATCATGAAGCAGCCGGCTGCTTACTTCAGGGGCTGAGCCAAGAGGCACGTAGCTCAAACAGCCTTGCCTCTTCTGTGTGTCAACTGTCTTATTTTCAAGTAACTTTTAGAGCTATTCTAAGCCAAAGGATCGAAAGCATTGTTTTAATCTTTGCATAATATTTCCCTTGATTTACTGACCTGAGTCTGGCTGTCCCCTGAAGCAGCCATAAAAAGCACCACAGGTAACAACATCTCACTCAGTGGACAAATCTTCTGGAAGGAGGAGGAAGCACTTAGCCTCCCAGGTCAAACTGCAGAAACCAGTAAGCGTAGAGCTGGCACAGAGGCTGCCTCCACATCCCAGAGCAGAGCTCCAGGAGGCTTGCATGTTTCTGACCATGAATGCAGCAGGAAGGCTGAGACAGCCAGCTCATATAGCAAAGTTCCACAGAGGTGTCCAAGACAGGCAGAACGTGCAAATTCAACCTCAGAAGGCAGCAAAAAGCAGTGTTTGAGGTGATAAAGTGCAAATGGAAGGGAAAGAGGTGAGATTAGCAACAGGTGATTCTGAGTTTCGGCAAAAGTCAGGCTGCTCAGATTATGGAGGTGAGCAGTGAGGCTGAGCTTCTCACCAGTGACACATTATTTGGGTTATTAAAGAGCAGTGATACAAGGGAAAGCCTGCAAACCTTCAGATGAGCTTCAGTCAGCTGTACAGGAAGGGTTTCTTTTGCTTTTAAGACTTGGCAAAATCCAGCCACAGAAACTGAAAACCTCCAGACATTCTGTAAAAAGAATTGGATGCAAAACCCGTACGCCAATGGAAGAGTCAGTTTTAACAAATTCAGATTGAGAATCTCTTCTTTGCTTCCAAGGAAAACATCTACCAAGAGAAAGCATTCACATTTTAGATACTGCAGTGATGGGCATTAATGTAACTGGCCAGCAAAGGGCAAAGCCACCCAGATCAGAATGCCAAGTCAGACACTGCATGTGTAGATACCACCTTGAGTCTTGAACTGCTGTATTCTGAGTCTTTTTAAGCTGAAACCCTCACCCACTCTTTTCTGAAGCCACCTACTTGTTTTGCAGATGCGACTGGAGAAGGACAAATTTTCTGTAAATCTTGATGTGAAACATTTCTCCCCTGAAGAGCTAAAAGTGAAGGTGCAGGGGGACATGATAGAAATTCACGGGAAGCATGAGGAGCGCCAGGTACTTCTACTTTAATTGTATGACTGATAGAGTCAATGTGAACTTCCTCATCTATGGTTAAACAAGGAGACTGCAAAATAACCCTCTGTGCTCATCTCAAATAGTTCTGGTTTCTTATTAACCAATCCTAATGGAAGATGCTCTGTGCAACACCCCAACCTGCCCAGATGATCCCAGACTGGGCAGCAACAGGGTGAAGATTTATTGTTGATGTTACATGAACTGTGAACTGAACTGGAAAATCACCTTTGAAATGGGCATTTTTGGGCCTCCCTCATTCTGTGAAGAGGCCAGGAATGCAGGGAGGCATTCCATAAGCTAACAACAAACTGTAATAACTAAACCACATAATGAATCAGTGCATTACCCAGTTCTGTTACCATGAGGCTACCTCTTCCTGAAAAAGGCCCATCTTCCAGTTTGTAATCTTTAAAGATTGTGTTCTGCTGTCAGCATTGCTTGCTGGCTCATGAGACCTGTGTGGCAACTGGACAGACAGAAGTCAAAAGCGATGTCCAAAGCTGTATGCAGCAGGGTTTGCCAGTCTCCACCTCCCTCCCACCACTGCCTCCTTGCCAGAAGGAAACGAATACATGTAATAAAATAGCTATGTGACTGGAATTGTCAGCTTTAAGAGCTTCTGGGATCACACAGGTTTGTCAGTCAGGAAATACAGCATTACTTGTAGCTGGTGGAAGCCTATAATCCTGACATAGCTTCTGCAATCTTTTTTGTCTAAGAAAATAATCAAGTACTATAGCAGAGACCAGCTCACTAGAAAGCTGTGTATTTCTAATGTTCTGGGGACCCTCAGGGACAGGGGTAGATGGCACTGCATGTGAGTCTAGCTGCTGCATCTTAGGAATGACAGCACACCACTGTGCAATGAGACCAGTCTCTAGCACACATAGCTCCTTTAAAAAGTGTACCTGCAGGCACCTGCAGCCTAGGCAGGGCAGTGCTTCACTTCTGCCCATCTTGTCTCTTTAAAAAGAGCATCTCATAATAAAAAATTCTTCTAATTTTCTTAAGTTTTCCTGTGAGAGCTGGAGCTTCCCAGTCTCGGAATTTACAAAGAGCCCATGGTTTAGGTGGAACTGAGTGAACATTTCTAACTAGGGCTGTTCCTTCTCTTCTCCTTTTGAAGGATGAGCATGGCTTTATTGCCAGGGAGTTCAGCAGGAAATACAGGATTCCAGATGATGTGGACCCTCTGACCATAACTTCATCACTCTCTCTGGATGGTGTCCTGACTGTGAGCGCACCAAGGAAACAAAGTGATGCCCCAGAGCGCACTATCCCCATCACCCGTGAAGAGAAGCCTGCCATTGCAGGAGCCCAAAGGAAGTAGGCTGCTCTTCCAAGTCACACTGAGGGGGCCATTTGAGAGTACTTTTCATCAGATACCAGCTATGCTGAATGGCTACTCTTATTTATGCTGAGAAAGTTTACTAACAAATAAAATATGAATAAGCAGCTTGTACTTTGTTGTTTTAGCACTGAGCACAAGGGAAGAGACAGGTCAAAAAAGCTGTGTGGTTGCTGTGCAAGGAAATATACATGGCATCATTCTTGCTTACAGCTTGAGTGGCAGGTGTGTCAAGGAGAGTTTGTATTCGTATTCACAAACACTTTGCTAGTTTCACTTGGTGTACTCTGATGTTTTGCAAACATCTAATTGGATGAACCTTTTCCTTCAATGTTGCCAGAGGATTTCAGAGTGTTTCACAAGCAACAAAGTTTTTCCAGTGGAGACTAGACTGGTAAAACAACTTCATGACAGTCAAACCCCTTTGAAGTGTGGGCATTCGATAACAACTGACTGGAAGACAACTGTATCTTAAATCTCTAGAATGACTCATGTTATGGACAAGCATCCAAATGCTGCCACCAATTCAGAGCAGTTGCAGTTTAAAACTGCAGAGCTGCAGTAAACACAGGTATATCTAGAGAGGAGAACATTCTGCCCTTGTGATGCCAATCACATCACTTTGAAATCATGTTGTCAGTGCCCTTCAAGCAGCAAACAGGATCTGACATCTACAGTATTAATCTGATTTATGCAAACATAGTTGAGCGGTACAAAACACAGATCTTTTCTATAGAGTAGGCTTTTGTTAGCCTCAAATTCGGTAGCAAGAAATAGGAATTTTGAGCAAAAGCTCACAGGATAAACGTGATGAGGTTAGCTAGACAAGAATACTTGAAATGCAAATACCACTCCCTGAATGACTTGAAATACCTGTTCTGTGGTGGCACAGGAGTGCAGCTCAACAATGAGAAAACAGCCCTGTCATCTCCAAGCACAAATGTCATTCAGAAGCTCTTCTTTAGCTACACTACAGATCCAACAGACTGTGTTTCAGTTCTGTGCATGTACTTTTTATTCTCCAGTGCTTTGACTTGTGGCAATCTGGAGAGGATGTTGTTTCAGTGAATATATTGAAAACCTCACCCCATAGGGGTTCTGTTGATAAATCTTTTAATTGGTGGTGCGTCTCCAGCCATACTGGGAAAGTTTAGAAGTGCTGCCCAAGTCCATCCACAGTTCCCCAAGGCCAGTAGCATACATTAAGGACCATGGAGGGAGTTGTACATAGACATCTTGGGCATGATCTGGCAAGAGAAATCAACAAGCCCCTAGGACCATCTTAGATCTCAACAGCAGTTAACATGACATGGAATATTGTCCCTTCTACTCCCACAGTCACTGGAGAAGGACTTCCTATACTTGTGTGTGTGACAGAGGGCACCAGAGAAGAGGTGTGTCCCTCCTTGAGGACCAAAAGCTGTTTTGGTTTTTGTTTGAGTGGTTTGGGTTTTTTTGTTTGTTTGGTTTGGTTGTGGTTTTGGGGGGGGGGGGGGGAGTAGGGGATGGTATGGTGTCTATCTCCCTAAGCTTTTATCCTGCATTTCTCAGTACAAAAGGCAACTCAGAGAAACTTACTCTGTTGGAGCTTGCTTTTTGAACAATTTTAAGCCTTCCACTGTCAGTGACTCCTGAAACACTGTCCTTGGCCTCTGCAGCAACTGCGGGCGCACAAATAGAACAGGCGCCAGTAAAGCACTGCTATTCTCTCTCAAGCCATAACTCTCAGTCCTGAAGCTACACCGTCTTCTCAGTTATAGCTGCTGGCCTCCCCTGGGGCGCCGGCAGCTATCCGGGCTCTGTGCAGAGGGTCCGTGTCGGGGAGCGGCTGCCGACAAAGCAACCGGAGACGTCCGCAGGGGCCACGGCTGCGCCCGAGAAGCGAAGCCGCTTCCGCAGCGCGTCCTGCGGAGCCCAGGCGGGACCAGCGGCGGTGCGGCCTGATGCCACCAGCAGGCGACCGGCGGAAACGTCATGAGGCAGCGCCGGGCTCCGGGCGGTGTCGGGTATGGAGCCGGTGCGCCGCGTCCTGCTCATCGGGGAGGGCAACTTCTCCTTCGCGGCTTCTCTGTGCGGGGCCGAGGGAACCCACGTCGTGGCCACTTGCTACGAGAGCGAAGAGGAGGTGTCCAGGTGTGGGGGAGCAGCGGAGAACATCCAGCGTCTGCGGGAGAAAGGTGGGTTCGCACCCCCGCCGTTGGGGAGGGAGGGTGGTGGCGGTGGTCCTCGCTCACAGCGTCCTAGGAGATCGGGACGGGGAGAGGAACGGTGTCGGTAGTGCTCAGCCCTTAGCTCTAACCCCTGTTGTCGTGACAAGGCTCTGGAGCGGCGGCATGCCTTCGTTACAACAGGCATCCGGCGGTCCCATTGCCTCCGCAGGAGCTTTGCTGTCACTCTATAGCCCTTCACCGCTCCACGCACTTAAGACGACTGCTTTTGCCACGAGGAATTTGAATTGTCCAAATCAATTTGCCCTAAGATCTAATCAGGCTGAAAGAGAGCTGAAACAAGTGGCCAGCAGAAGACTTTGCAAGCGAGCAAAGGGAACCTAGACTTTGTGATTTTCCTAATGTACAGGTGGGAAGATGCCTGGTAGCTGCTAGACTTTGTGATTTTCGTAATGTACGGGTGGGAAGATGCCTGGTAGCTGCTGCTCTAATATGCTTAAAAGTGGACTAGAGCGCTAACTGCTACCTTCCTTTAACATTTTCCATACTGATGAACATCAGTCTTGTTTTTCGATTACTGTTGAAGGAGCTGAAGTTATGTTCTCAGTGGACTGCACCAAGCTGAAGGACTGCTTTTTACCAGGAAAAAGAGAATTTGACTGTATTCATTTCAACTTCCCTCACTGTGGGAGAAAGGCTGGGGTAGTGAAGAACAGAGAACTTCTTGCGCACTTCTTCCATAGGTGAGTAAGCCAGAAATAGTTCTATGCTAATTGAGTGCCGTGATACAGATTTCTAGCTGTGTTATGTGTGTTTTTCTGACACTATAAGATTTCTGTGTGTGATAGCAGGACTTTTTCTTGTTCCCTGGCTTACAGCTCTGCAGAAGTGCTATCAGAGGAGGGAGAGGTTCATGTGGCACTTTGTAATGGACAGGGTGGGACACCTGCTGATCAACCAAGGAGAGAATGGCACAACAGCTGGCAAATAGTGGCTGTGGCGGCAGGAGCTGGATTTATCTTGAGTAATGTTCATCCTTTTAAAGCAGAGATTATCCGTGGATATAAGTGTACAGGCTACAGGTAACCATCATGTGGCAAAACAAAAGTTATTTGTGCTCTTATAATACCTAGCACTAGTATGGTCTTTTAGTATCTTGTTTGTTGGAGAGAGGGACTTCCTTTAATTTTCTTTAAAATAGCTACAGTTCTTTTTCACCTCTGAACAGAACGGTCAAGATAAAATGCAAGCCTCTTGCCAAAGTACCCTTTAAAAAATAAGATTATTTTAGGGTTTTAAAAGTCAAAATGACCCACTTGAGAACAAATGTGAATCTCAGCTTAAAGATGGGAGGAGGACTGTGGAATGTGTATCTGCTTAGCAGACAATCACAGAATCCCAGCATGGTTGATGTTGGCAGGGACCTCCAGCAATAATCTAGTCCTATCCCACAGCTGAAAGCAGAGCCAGCTACAGCTTGTTCCAGTGTTGGACCACTCTCTCAGGCAATGTTGCATTTTAGCACCTTTTAACAAGACCTGGGATTCAATAAGAAGCATGTTACTGTTGCACAGAGTTAGCTGTGTGATGCTTACTTACGACACATTAAGTATAGGAAGTGATCAATGACTGTGCTCTGCTTTTGTGTATTGTCAGGAGTCAAGATAAATCTTTCTGTGTAGAGGGTGCATTAAACCACATTTTCACACGAAGCATGCCATTTTCATATTTCAAACCTATGAGCTGTGAAATAGAGCTGGAAAACAGAAAAGTTTCTTTTCAAGTACCACAGGTACTCGTGGATAAAATCAATAGGTAAGTTCTATAATTAATTTTATAATTTCTAATAAATAACACACTCCTGTTCTCAGTGGGAATGACTAGGATAGGTGTCAGATAAAATGGAGTTGCTTCACTTTCCCTCCTTTCCTTCTTACAGAATTTCCTGTTCCATTTCTTTTTTAAGTCTGCTTCCTGTTGGCTTGTGGTTATGGCCTACTTAAAAATCAGTCTACAGACCAAATAACAACTTTGGGAATGAGACCAAGCCGCTGCATACTTGAACGCACAAATAAAAATGAAAACAATCTTTTTTACTATATTATGGAAGAACTTGAGGAGCTGACTTGGTGTCGGCTAATACCGCAATACTAAGGCTAGGAGGATTAAAAAATACCAGCTTCTTAGGTGAACCACTGTGTACTTCAGAGGCTATCCAGTCTAACAAAATTTGATTCACTACTGTATTGGTAATGCCTGTGCTGAGTGGCAGTGGTGATCCTGACTGTTAAGTCTCATTCCTTTTTTACCAGTGAAAGTGCAATTAATTCTTGATTGTAACATGGAGACAAACACCATTGTCCTGCAAACATGTTAGCCATTTCAACACTTTTGATGAAAGACTTGGCTTGTTCGGGTAATTATCAGAAACCTTAACACCTGAGACTGTTTTGGGTAAGTTGCTGGCCTCAAATTATGATCACAGGAAGGTGTCTCAGGGAAATCTGTTTAGTGGTGTGTGTAATTCACACTTTTTATTTTTCACAGGGGTTTCCTAGAACCAAATTCAAATCATCCAGTACGGACACTAAAGGAGAAGCTCACTGCAGACCTTCGCCAAGCCTTTCCATTACAAAACATTGACTCCTGCCTTCCTCTGCTCCACCATGGTCAACTGAATGGTGTCTGTCACTCAAATGTCTTTTGGATCATTCTAAACCCAGAGGAGACTCCAAGCACTGAAGAAATGTCTAATGGACTGACAAATGCAGTTTCATTTCACCATGTTGATTTTTGCAGGGATGCAGATAAGAATGGTTGGGTGGATGTACAAGAGGGATGCCACATTTCAAAGCAGTATTATCTTAGACCTTCTCTTCTACCTTATGCTCAGGCAGTAATACAAAGAGGAGCTTTTCTCCCAGAGACACTTTATGTTA